AATTCAAAATTAGAAGTGCCAGACAAAACACATTTTATAACTTTAATACATTAAACTCTCTATAATTAACACAGTACCTTAAATGCATAAAAAGTTAATTAAATAATATTTATTAAAATTTATAATTTAAATTTCTGAATATTTAATAAATAAATTGATGGTATTCTATTGAAAAATAAATAGTTTAAAATAACTTGAATGCACTCATCTATAATAACGAGTGTCTAATGTATTGACAGATTTATGAGACAAACAAAGAGAAATTTGTATTTCCAATCTCCTTATCTAATCTCGAGTTTTTATATTAGGCTTTCAATTCATACAAATGATATTTTGTATTAACAACAGGTATACCAATATTAACGCATATATTTCCGTTACTAATCAACGCAAAAGACTATACTGTTAATTTTGTATGACTTACTTAATAGCGATGCAACCATAAAATAAAGGGCGATAAGTGAACATAAATTTGAAAACTCATATCAAATTATATATAACAGTCTGACTAACGATATGCTGACTTCCGAATAGCATTCACTCTCATTGTCTTATAAGTAATTGTGTTTTAATTCAAATTAATAGATTAGTAAACAATTTCGATATATTGTATAAAAGCATAATTTACAGCAAAATCTGATATTCAGTTGTAAATATAGTGTTTATATTCAATGAACTTATTAATACTTAATTTTTAATTTTCATTTCTCTGTTTCTGTGATTTGAAAGTTTTTTCTGTCACTCATTCCCATCAACACATAATCGCAAACATGGATACATTGAGAACATTAATAGTATTATCATCACTCGTGACCACAATGATGTGCATATCTGTGCATTTGGATCAGTTTCACACACTTATAGGCGACCGCTGTTTCAACGAGACCTACGACCGGAAGCCACTGACGTTGGGGCAGAAGAATCCGGTCGGCCTTTCCATCGAGAATCTGATTTCACTCATTGAGAAGATTGAGGCCAAACGACCCCAACTCAGTGCTCAACAAATTGTGTTACTTATACTCAGAAGGTATGTCCCAAACATGGCTATAGAATATTCTGTTGTTAACATAAGTCTTTTGAAATAGAAAAGAATTTTGTAAAATTAAGTATAATATATGAGAAATGAATTCAATGTTATACAATACTACTGTAGTCACAAAATACAATGGTCATAATACAGTATGAATAGTTTAATTGGATAACTTAAAAATCTATAAGTATGATTGTCATTTTTGTACAATTGTCCATTTTTATATATTGTATTTTGTAGATTCAATAGTTAAATTTATTTATAATCAAAATTTAAATAAGATTACAACTAATTTGCCAAAAGAATAGGTTTCTTATAAGTAGGGGTGTGACACTTTTAATGTCACGCAAACCTTTAAGCATAACTCGCTTATTATTATAAATATTAATATAATAATTCTATTAACATTGAAGGTTACACAGTTATTTATAATAGCTCATAAATAAGTAACAAACTAACTATTGGATATAAATTACTTAATTTTGAAGAAATACTCATATAAACCAAATTAATATATAAAATCTATTGAGAATATCAGTATATCGATCACATATAGACTAATAGATTTGGGGATATGTTTGAAAATATGAGATCAAAGTTACAAACAAATAATATAAGGGATAGGAATAACTCTATGTCCTGCCAATCAGGTTCCACATCGATGGTCTCCATCTGAATGGTGTGGTGAACATCCAGTCGCAGATCGAGATGAAGCACCGGAGGATCACCGAAGAGATAATGAAGTCGAGCACGGAGTCGGGCATCGGGAACGTGGAGTTCCCCGAAGAGATCCTCACGGAAGACGAGAAGTGCGCTCTGTTTTACACACTCTCTCATACGGTCAACGAGACGGCCAGACATGACGACGAGATCGCGCACACCTACCACAAGACAGTACACCTCTCGAGGTCGGCAACGAAACCCAATAATAAGACAGTGGTTCTCAAGAGCGAGGCTCCCGTTCCCATTCAGTCGGAGTTCCTTCAGAGCAAACCCAACAAAACGGGACCCCCTTCCCCTTTGAAGCCGCAGACAGTGAAAGCGCAAGAAACTAAACAAATACCTCAGGAAGTAGTGGCCGGTCCTGTCGTGGATGACACCACCGCTAAGAGAACCAAACGACAGGCCATACCCCCTGTTCAGCCCATTAAAAAGGGACAACATATCAATATACCAGTGTATGTGCGCTACATTTAATTGTATTAATGCTTTTGTTAATTAATCATTTTCATATTGATGTGAAACTACAGGTCAGGGCCGAGTAGTATAAAGCTGACCCGACGTCCCCGTGAGAAAGGTGTGGCCAGTTTTCGTAACGACAAGACTATGGCCATCGCCGCCAATCGGGTGCTTTTGGGAACGGCAGTCGGCTTACTGTCACCGCTACCCAAATCCACGCACACTCTCATCAAAACCATTGCCAACATTGATATCAACACAAATCACGGCATACCTGACGGACAGATCGACCCCTTATTAGCGGTCACTCTATCGGATCTGTTGGGCATTGACGCGGGCTCTGGACTCACGATACCGGCCGGGGATGTGTTGTTTGGTGCTGAGGGCCACTGGAACTCAACGGCCTGTCAGACCAGTTATAAGCTGATGAGTAACGGCACTCTCGCCACTCTGGCTGAGCTCAGGGGTGGACTCGACGGCTGGAATATTGGCCGCAA